AAAATGGCAGCGAGATAAGGCGCAGCTTTTCATTTTCACTCATGTAAAACTCCTTGTGCGTGCATTCAGACCCGCTATGATTCAGCAGCCAAACGCACAAAGAAGCCCTCGCACACACGACGCCAGGCGCTGCCACACACTCCCGCTCTCGCAGGCAGCTCTGCTCGCTCACCTCACTCTGACTTCTGGCAGTTTGGAGGGCGGAGCCCAACAACTTTGATTGACAGGTTCAGTTCTACACTCGTATTAAACTCAGCTTCATGGCATCGGCACAGCTGCTGTTTTGGATCGTACGTGTTTACAATGAAGTTTGCAGAATGAAGCATCGGCAGGTTTTTGCAGGTAGCAGCAAACAACCATCACAAGATTACTTCTGTTCTTAGAAGATTAGAAAAAAGGACACTTTCTGGCCTCAAAGTTCAAACAGTTTTATGGATTTTGGCCTCCACGAGCGTTTAAATGTGTTCGACTCTGGTTTTTTAACTATTTCCCACAATCCAAGACGAGATGCAGAGACTCCCGCTGTGCTTTAAAGCCCGTGAATCGTAGGGTGGCCCTGACCAATGCTCTCATTTTACACCTCCAAGTTCTCCACACTTAATTAGACAAGCAGAGAACAGGCATTTGAAAAGATTCAAAGGAAGGTGTAAAGCTGGGGTGATCTTCCCTTTCTTTATGTGTGTAATACAGGATTATGGTGAAAAGCCACACATGCTCAGCACCAAAATGAGTGATTTATTAGTGATTAGTTGCAGTGAGTCATCAGCAGCTTTTTATGTGCCAGGTAAAATAAAAATACCGCTGCCTGCTGAGTCCCATCAGCTGATCATAATTAGCTTTTATTGATCCTCACCCACGTCGTGATCCAGCCGTGCTTTGAACTACCTGCAGTTCTCAGTGCGTCTTTGTTCAGTCGTGTGTTTATCATTTGTGCCCCTGTGTGAGTTTGGCTGCTTGCAGACCCGTGTTAGCTGTTTGTGGTGCAGTGGTTACTGTCACTGTCGCCTCACATTGATAAGTCTGTGGGTTGGAATCAGCTTTATGTGGACCTGTGTGGGTTCTGTGGCAGGCCAGGGTCCTTCCACCCTATTAGTAGGTGTGTCTCTGTTTCTCTCTGTCATAGACACCTGGCAGCTGATTGGCTGTTGTTCATACCTGATGTGGATTTCATTCCTTTCTCTCCTTCTCTGCAGTTTCAGCTCCAGAACTTTGATATCGTCTGCAGCACCTCGTGGGCCAACAGAGACAAGTGCTGTGAACTTCCCAGTCTGGTGAGGTCAAAGTCTGAAGCAGTCTCGATGTTTGCTTGTTTAGAGCAGGAGGAGATGCCCTGGAAGCTCTTAAGTGCTCATTTACACACAGTTTATTAGCACTGCCTGCACCAAGGTGACAGTTTCAATGTATTTGAGGCTGAGAGAGAGATTTTTCCATTACAGTAATTTTCTTGATAGTATTCGGGGTTAGAATGAGCCATGTTTGCTTCCATTTTCACTGTAAAACCATTGAAAGCAGTCGTTTAGACTTAAACTGCCTCCCTGGTTTTATTTGGATCTTTTCATGACACCAAACCAACACCAGAGTGTGTCGGGAAGCAGCTGCTCTCAGGCGTCTGTGGCTAACGTGTTCTGCACAGTCGTGCAGGCTGAGGTCTTTACTGCTGGGGCCGAAGGTTTCCAAGCAGAACGTAGTGAAGTAGCAGCATGACTGAACCTGACAGTCACTGACTGCTGTGTGCCACAGTGACTGTAGTCTGAAAATATCTGAAATTCACATCTGAGATGGAGCGCTTTGTCATATTTCCACCTTGTTTGGTTTGTTTTTTTTAATCACGATTCATGCCATTACATTTTCTTTATTTTCTATTCTGTTATTATATTTATTTATTTGCTTTTGTTTTTTCTTTGTGTCATCCTCATCATGCTGTGGTCATCCAGAGGAAGGAGGTAGACTGCCCGGCCTTGCCTAAAGCCTGCACCTGCACCCAGGACAGCAAAGGCCCCCCAGGCCCTGCTGGACCACCAGTGAGACACACACACACACACACACACTTTGGTTACTGGGCAAGTCTCACCTCTGCTGCATTGCATTTCATCGTCTGCTTGCTTACTTGAATGAAACATGGACAAAGACCAAACGTGATCGCACATCTGCATCACAACAATGACACAAACATCATTTTTCCTGCACTTTGTCACCTCACTTTTTACTCACATTACATGTTTCTTTGATATGGTGAAGAACAATCACCAAACGAGTAACTTTTTGTACCACTGCCAAAAGCACCATGACTCTAATATACCACCTGGTATTTAAAGAGTATGCAATTTCATTTCTCACCAGCAGAGAGCGACAGTGAGACTTTTTTGCCGACCTGTCATTATCCATATACTAAACACACACAAAATATGGAGGGCCAGGACTGACAAAATGAATGCATTAAAAATGCCAATAAACAATGAAATATAAAAGTCAATAATTAAATAAAAATTTAAATAAATAAATAATGTATTACATGTTTTAAATTAAATGACTGGACATTTAATTAATTATTGAAATATTTATTTAATAAATGAATTCCAATTTTAATTATTTAATGAAACATTTAATTCATTCAGTTTGTCACTCCTGGCCCTCCATAAAAGCCAGTGCTGCACATTCATTCATGGAGTCACAAAAGTCTCGTCTGATCTGAGGTCATATTCAAATGGTCTTGCACCCCCTCCGCCTTGTGGAGGGTGGGGCAGAGCATTTGTGGCTCCTGGGAGAGGCTCACGTGCGCCGTGGTGTTTTTTTCCGCGGACGCGGCGAGTGGCGGCGAGCTCCGGAGAGGCCGGCAGCCCTCTCGACCCATGGCAACCCACCGAGTCACCCGTGGAGCGATCCTCGTCTGGTGAAATACCACTACTCTTATCGTTTTTTCACTTCCCCGGTGAGGCGGGGAGGCGAGCCCCGAGCGGGCTCTCGCTTCTGGTGTCAAGCGCCCAAAAGTCCAATAACAGGACAAAACACCAACATCCTGTTTTATGTTCCGTTTACATTTCTTTAGTGGAATTCCTTTTTTTTTACTTTCACTTCCTGGCAGATTAAACCTTTTTTCTTGCACCATGACTCATCTGTCAGCTTTGTGGGTTATAAAGTCATCTGTCCTCACCTTCAAACCTCAGCAGCAAACCTGGTAATCGTGTGTTTCTAAGCACCTCCTGCTGTTTGTGTATCTAACAGGGAGGCCCAGGAATCAGAGGAGCCAGAGGAGAACGTGGAGAGCCAGGCCCTGTGGTGAGTTGTTGGTTTAGCCTATCAGAAACCACGGCTGTGTCCGATGGGCCCGCCTTCAGCACGTTGCTGAATAATATCAACAGGTTATCAAGAAATCGCATTTGTTTTTATTCAGTTTCTCAGAGTAAACACATCCATCATGCTGGTGTTCATCCTCGTCTTAAAGAGACAGAGCCGATTTAACTCACCCACATCCCAACTATTCACACTCAGAAACACGCAGAATCATTTCTGATCAGTTTAATAACTTCAGCAATAGTTTATAGATTGGAAAGAATTAGGATGCAGAAAGCTGCATACATAAATTTACAAAAACACTTTTATAGATATTTTCTCAAAAGTTATTATTGTTATTATTAAATCCCTAATTTAAACAGAGTTCAATCAAATCATTTTTTCCAGAAAGAGCTGTCTGCAGAAACAATAAATAAATACAATAATAATATGAAACAAACGCACAGATAAATAAACATCAGGGAGGTCAATCAGTCGATTAAATTGGAAAATAAAAATAGCTTCTTCCCATATTTGCAGTAATTGTCGGGTTTACACACACACGAGTTCTTGATGTGACCGCTCTCATGAGCTCCTCCCGTCACGGCGGAGCAATCGCCAAGCCACACTGCAGGCCATCTTTAGGCGTTTCGCCCTCCAGTATTCTCTATGTGTAGAAAAATATGAAAGCTTCTAAGTGTCGACTCAGGTTTTATGCAGTTAAGACAACAAATGTATTAGTGAGTTAGTTTCAGAGCATAATTAATATATTCATGTAACTCCTCCCTCTGCGCTCCGCTGCACAGCCTACATGTTAAAGGTCATTTCCTGGTTGGGCTCTTGCTGTTTTGAGCCACGCTTGATGGCGTGCTCACTGTTGCTGTGCCTGATTGTGGTTTAGATACGACGATTCAGTTTCCTCGAACAGCCTCAGAGCTCCGGGCACGCCCACCTCTGCACAGTTAGTGTTTCATGCCTCGTGTTCCACTATCACAGCGCTGCTTTGTGACCTGCTCTGATGCTTTGTCAGATTCCTCTCTTGCAGTGACGTCTTGCAGACTTTTAGCTTTTCTTTCAAAAGCAAAGGTGTTCAGTTTTCTGTCATTACAAAGTCAGAGGCATCATCGTTCGTGTTTATAGACACCTACATATCTGAGTTTTCTTCCGTTGCTTAAGAACCAGCTGCTGCTTGTGCTAAGCTCACTTCCTTTCTGGCTCAACATGATTTTATCTGGGTGACTGCAGAGACGTCAGAGGACAGTTTTCTGCACTTTTTTTCATATTGCAGATTTAAACTTCTTGATTAGTTTTTATTAAAGTCACGCTGCTTCAGACAAACGCACTCACCTGTTTTTCGATGCTGTTCACAACGATCAGGTTTCCTCCCTTCTTCTCACAGTCCTCTTGGCTCTTCTGCAAAGCGGACACTATGATGTATTCATAATAACAGCTGCAGCCGACCTTCACCCATCCTGGAGGACAGCCGTTCCCTGAAAACATACCGACACCCTCTTACTCCAAACTCCTGTCACGTGTCTTTGCTCAGTTAAAATGGCTTTAAATGAACATTCTGAGTTCTGTGTGTTCCACATTTTAGGGAAAGTGTAAAACCTTTCTCAGTCGCGTTTGAGGTGTTGTTCACTTCAGTGATGTTTGTGAAAGAGCCTTAAAAAAGGAAATAAAATGTGAAACGCAGTAACTGCTTCAAACTGCAGATGAACACTGTTGTTTCAGTTACTGAGGGAAAAAAAGCTTTGTAACCTCTCTCAGTTGCGTTTCGCTCGGGTCGATCATCTGGAAATCCAAAATCAGGCCAACCATCAGTTATGTTTGGATTCTCGAAGTCTGGACACGGAGAACCAAAGAAAACTTGTTATGAAATAATTGTTCTTCAGCCTGTGAACTCTGCTGTCACTGGCTGTGAGTTTGATTTTCCTCTCTTACCTGAGCATTGGCTCTTCATCCTGGTCATTTCCTCATTTAGTTCATCCAATTTTATTTTGAGCTCGTCTCTCTGCAGGGTCACTGAGATATCTGCAGAGGAACGTGCTCATGTGAAACTTTAACAAACGTTTGTGTGTTTATTTTTTTAAATTAACAGTTTGAAATCATTAAAAAGTTCAGCACTTCTCTGGGAACGATGAGAGCATTGCTGTAATGTTCTCATCGTTCCCAGAACAGTTTGCTGGATGCTGAACACTGATCGTAAACGGCGCAGCACGTGTCGGCCCTCACAGCGGAGTCCTGTCGAAGTCAGCGTGAGCAGAAGAAACGTTCCCAGCACTGCAGCGATGACTCGAACGTCTCTTCTCTTCGCTGAATGTTTCTTTCGAGCACGTCGACCTGTAGAGATGAAAAGCGCAGTAACTATACTTCGTTCAGCACGCGGACTTTTAAATGAGCTGCTCTTCTCAGTACGAGGACAGATGTTTGCTGTATGACACATTTATTTATTTCATGTTTAAAATAAGACATCATCCATGTTTTATTTGCGTTTACTGCCAGGCCATGAGTGTACTTATTCATGCTTACTGGTTTTCTGTGACCCAGTCCTGGTGGCGTGGGCTTCAAGCTCTCTGATCTCCGCTTTGTTTTTCTCTCCACCGTCCGCTCGGACTCCTCTGCTGTATCTCACATGTTGGTTTCCTGTGGACATCTTGGGCGAAGTAAAAGTCTCGTCCGACTGCTTCTGTCTTTGTCACGCAGCTGTTTTTAGAGACGAGCATGAAGGAAGTAACAGCTACCCACAAACACAACCGCACACACAAACACTCTAATAAATGCTGTTACAGCCACACTCTCTCTCTCTCTGTGAGTTAAAGTGTAGGATCTAAGAAATCATTGACGTATCACTTCCGATCCTCTGACCTCAGGCAGGTGTCCACTCGGACACTAATGACAGAGAGGTTGTGTTTGTCACAGAAACATGCAGCTGTGAGTCATGAAACTCTTTTTGACTTTGTTAAAATGGTTACTTTTGGTATTTTGGTGAATAAAAACGAGTGAAGGTCTGTTCACCAGAGTTCACCAGAGTCTCAAAGCACATCTGTGTTGAACGTCTATCAGATAAAGATCCAGATTTCCCCCGCTCACTGTGAAAACACGAGCACCACACCGCGCTTGCATTTCAGTCGTATGTAAAAATCTTTTGTTATGAAAATTCTGTGCGAGCAGCTTTTCAGTCATGCAAAGCATCTTTCAGGAGAGAGAAGTTATAAAATACTGTTTCATTTATGAAAAGTATTGTTTTTTCATAAATGAAACAATGTTTCAGAAATATTGAAACATTGTTTCTCTTAGCTCGCTCCTATCGTTACTCTTCCCTCCAGATACGAGAGAGCACTCTGTCTCTTTAATTATGTCAAATGTGGAAGTAGATTGATGTCATTTGGTGCACAAAGAGGTGTTTATGAGGGTTAAGGAGTTAGTTATTTGGTGGTTACATGTTTTGATATTTACATGTTTACATATCTGAATGTTTACACTTTTACATTCAGTTATAAGTATGTGCTGATTCCACCTGGTTGGTTTTCCTGCATTTATCCGAGTGCAAGATTTCCTGGCTTCTGAGTTGCCAGTGAAGTATCACGATGGCTGCACACAGGAAGTGCTCTTTTTTATGTTGAGCTGTGCAGCGAGTAAAGATGCTGCTAAGAAACTTATCAGTCTCCGTCTTGCTGTTTCTAATAGTTTAGAGAGATTCTGAACCACGTGGATAAAAGTAGTAGTTCCTGGTCTCGAGGCTTCCATGGAAACAGAAGAACTTAAGCAGAGACCTAAAGGCCAAGTATCAGAAACCCCCCCCACGGAGCAGGACACGTGCTCCTCCATCCTCTCCTTAAAAGGTCCGATCTGATTGTTTTCTCTCTGTCTTGAGTTTTTTAGTCTAACTTTTGTACTGTATGGAAATTGGTAGAGCGGGAGGTTTTGTGTTTGCTTTGTGTTGGTGTTAGTCTGTAATATAAGGCAGTAAACAGGAACAGGAGTCTGGGCTTCATTAAAGGAGCTGTAATTGCACAATGTAACTAAAGGTTCCAACACTAGGTGGCAGTGTTTTATCAGAAGATATCAGTGTCGTTGTGCCAGCAGTGAGAAACGGTCTGCCCTGTGAGTGTGGTGCTTAGTGCTGACGGATTTGTGTTCAGGCTTCCTGTCTGAGGCCTTTCTGTGTCGTTTGTCGTTCCACAGGCCAAACACACACTCGCTAAGCTGTGATCCTAGGTGAGCCTGCCTGTGTTGGTCCTGAGCCTGTGTGGGGGGGGGGGCACCCTGCCTCACCCCGTAACAGCTGTAGTCAGCAGATTACATCATCTGTTGATGTTTGTGGTCTGTCTTTCTAACCCACTGTAATCCACAGAGGTGGAAAGCAGCTCCCCACACCTCTCCACTGTGTTTATTCCACTCTCTGAAGTCATAGTGAGTGGACACTGCTTCACTGATCAAGTCTACATTATGTTGCCTGCTCAGCGGTCCCCAACCCCCGGGCCACAGACTGGTACCAGTCCGTGAGTCGTTTGGTACTGGGCTGCGCTGAGGCTTCGATGTGAAATTCATGGTTTTGGGGGTTATATCAATTTTTAGCTTTTTATTTTAAATCATTTTTATCATTAACTTGGTTTCCCCGGGTCTCTTCCTGTGTGTTATGATTAAATCTTATTGTTTTGGCGCCAGTACTGGTTTTATTTTGTTGCATTTATCCGTGACACCTTATAGTCCGCTCCGTGAAAATATTGTCAGACATAAACTGATCCGTGGTGCAAAAAAGGTTGGGGGCCGCTGACTTAGAAGACATGAACATGATTTATTGAGATACGATGGAGATTAGACTCCGATGACCTCATCATGGCAGGACAGCTTCTCAGCGGTGGGAGGATTTAGGAAAGGACCTCCCTGTGTGAGGTGGAGCTGGGAGGAGGCGGGGTGCATGAAAGAGAGTCCGAGAGGGAAATAATGGAGAGCACAGATTTACACCACGCGAAGCAGAGTTTGATCGGCTCCATGAAAGATGATTGGACTAGAGTAATGATGTCATTACTGAGGTTGACAGCGTGATGGGAAATCTAAAAACTATTTTAATTTACAGTTCGTGCCTTCAGAGGCCAACTATTAAGCCAGTGTAATGTGTATGTGCTAGCATGTAACCTGAACCACCACATGCCGCAGTGTGCACAGCATAAACTCATTTTCACTGCCAGTGACTAAAATACATAAAGCTCAGCACTGCAAAGTTATTGGACAGTGCAAAACACACTCAACAGTTAACATGTACAGTAATAGTAATGAACTAAAATGCAACAAAAAGACAGAACAATGCAAATCACAATAAAAGAATAGAAACTGACATAAACTGACAATGTTGACTGAAAACTGACCACCAGAGGAGACGCGTGTTTTTTCTGGTTGATTAGACTTTCACACATTGTTTTGTGTATTTCAATCCTTTTTAAGTAGAGAAGAAAAAAATGCCACTGCATCCAGATTCAGAGGAAATATGGAATGAGGACATTTCTAATATTGATCGATCCGAAGCTCAAGTTCTTATTTGAACAGTTACAGTGTCGGTCCTCTCGCCTCTGTATGACACCATCGCGTATTTTAAATCGAACAAATCAGGTGTGATTGAAGTTCAGACTTTCAGCTTTAATTCAAGGAGTTTAATAAATGTATGAAACAGTTTAGGACTCACTGACATTAAACATAATCCCTGATTATTAAAGTTCTGTGGTTTTCAGTCTGGGATTTCACAACAACAGACTTTTGTTGACTTTTCAGTAAAACATAAAGGTCAGAACACCATTATGTCAGTTTTACCTTCACACAGCTGTACTGAGACTTCAGTTTCTATTAAAATCCTTGGTAAGGTTTAGATCTGATACAGTGCAGTTACATGTTACACATGTCAGACTGAGAGGTGACCAGCAAACTCTCAGTAGATGTCCCTCTCACAGATCCAGTGTTTCGATCCAGTGTTGGTGTAGTTCCATGTTCCTTGTAGATCCATAAATACTTTGAAGTCATCCTCAGGATTTAATTTTGCACCTGTATTCCAGCCTCTGTTGAACAAGTGCAATGTTGTTACAGGTAAAACCCTGAAAACACCACAGAGTATTTTGCAGAGAGCTCTTAGCAGTGCTTAGAAGCCCACATCAACATATTCTCCTGCTGAACTATTTAACTTCCATTTGTCTTCCCAGTATTCCCATTATTACCAGTTATGCAGTTTTCACACATGAACTGCAGCTCTGAACATTTCTATGCAAAATGATGCAGGACGCATGAGAACCATATACTGTAAATAAAAGATGGACGTTGCCACTGTGACATCACCCGTTAGTTACAAAGCCGTGTTTTTAAAACCTCCTGAGGATCTGGCCTTTAAATCCAGGAACATCACATACTCATCAGTCACCTTGGTAACCACACAGTCCCCTCCCACTAAAGCGTACCTGCTTTATCACCTGCTTTGAACATTAACAGGAGAATAAATGATTAAATGAAGATCACTGTGTCCTGTAAATCTTAAACTGAGACCATGGACTCATAGAAAAGTGTTCATGAGGACTTGGATCACTGCAGCTGAAGGACATTTTCCCACAGACATCAACACAAGCTGACCTGTGTATGCAACCACACAATCTGATATCCTTGTGTTGGTGTTGTTCCCAGATCATCATACTAAATGTTGTTCCAGGATCAACATTGCAAGTGACCAATCAGAATGTTGTGACGTCATACTTTTG